TGCCTGCCCAACTTCATTCTTAAAGAAGTTAATCAAGTTGCTTGTTATAAGTAAATTCTAAAACAAAGATATCCTATCCAAGACAGTTCATTTAATTGTATTGCTTCTTGGATGTTAATTTTAAAAGTTAAGTTGACTGTGGTAATTAAATCCAACTACAAATTTGTGATAGCCTAGAAGTACCTTATGTGATGTGAATTCAACAAAAAATATCTTCGTAATTTTAGGTTTTAGCAATTTATTGTTGGATTTTAAAGTTCATGTTTCTGATACTTTATTTAAATAGATTCTTGGGAACCATGAAGTATGATTTTCAACAATTATCACATTTTAATTGACATCACCCATTTATCTAATAACTTTAATACTTGGAAGCCATTTGTTGAGAAATATTCACTGATTCGAATGCTTTGATATTTTAAAAAAATCTTTTCCCTCAATACATACCTATTTCTAAATTAAGAAGTTTTACTGATATTGATGCTTTATACCTAATCTCATTTGCAATTAGAGAACTCTCACCTCTTCAATTTTTAAGTACTTTCGTGAAATCAAAGGATTTAAGAATAGATTAGTGTCTATATGTTATATAACTGACTTTTGGATTTTAAAAAAATTATCTGGTCATGTCCATTCAACAACAGCATCAAATGGCTCACTTTTAAAGTTCTCCCACAAAACAACTTAATTTGATAATCAACAAATCCATCTTTAGAAACCTCACAATTAAAACATATACATTATTTGAAATTTCCACATTGAAATGATCTCCCGTCAACATAGTAATTTTAAAAAAACTTTTATTTGGTCTCCAGAAATCACAAAACCTATTCTTTTTGTGCAAAATTGAAAGTCTATTTACCAGTCCAGCTAGAGTAAAATAACGTAGACTCCTCTGTCTAGATAATTAGCATTGAAGAACTAATGTTCTAACAGGCATATCATTAAAAAACATTAGCACATTAGCAACTAGTACAATTTTCACTTAACATCTCTATAAACAAGTTATATGCACTCTAAACACACAGTTAAATAAACAACCCAATTACATTCTAGAGCTCCCTTGAAGGATGTCTAACATAGTAAAGAAATGTATGTTCTAACATTGCTTTCGCCTAAAGGGCTGCTTCAAATCCTCTGTGAAATGAATCATGGTAGACATACATAAGTAAATGTAAATATAATAAAAAGTATTAATGTTCACATATAATACCTTAATAAATAAAATAAAATAAAAATAAAAAAGTATTAATGTAGCAGCTTCTTATTTGTTTAGGTGGTGCTTTTTATTTAGGTAGTGATCAAAAAATAAGTTAAAAGCTTTTATCAGAGACATTGGAGAGTCTCAATATGGTGGGGCAAAGTGGCACTCAGATTGCAGAAAATATGCACAGAGTCCAGACACCTCAGGTTGAATCCTAGCACTACTATTTTTATGTTAAATTAGCCTTTACCAAGTTACTCAAACTCTCCTCTGCTGTAAAACAGGACTCATAAGAGTACCTTTCTCTTTGGGGTTTTATGAGGATTAAGTAATATTATCCTTGTAAAAGTACCTAGACTAGCACAAGATGCTTACATAGCAAACAATAAATGTCAAGCATCATCATCATTATCATCCCACTGTGCTGTAAAAAGGAAAAACTGGATGTAAAGATAGTTGAATAAGTTCCATTCTTCTGTACACAAAGCAGACCAATGGGCAGACCCGAAGCCAGTAAGTGAATCTCCATATTCAGATCGAGTCTCAACTCCTATTCAAAAGCTGCCTCTCACTGCCAGCATATATCTCATCTGAACAACCAAAAGGACAATCTGGTTACTCATACTATATCACATTAATATGTAAATGCATCACTTCAGCAAGAAAAATCACAAACAAGTAGTTCATTCATGCCTCATTTTAGTCATGACAATATCAAACTTGTCACCCCAAAATTAAATTTTACAGCTACAGTTAAATAAACACATTCACATCCAAATTCATTCAATGGTGTCAAAAAGGATCAACAGAAAGAAACAATCCAAGAGGAGAAGAAGGATTAGTCCACTAGGCATGGATTGTCAAATACTGAGGAGAAAATGCACCATTATTTGAGAAGCATAAATGATATACAAACACTATTGACTTACACATACAATGGCCCCTTGTTTTATGATTACATTCAATAACTGCACATAGTCGGTCTTAAAATGAAAACTGCACAAAGGTCAGTCTTAAAAATCTGTGAAAGAGGAAAGTTCCATCCTCAAAGGAAAGGGCCTATCTCTAGTGCATAATTTCTGGATAATAGAAAGAAAAGGTTATAGTAGAATATGACTAGTTTTTTCTGCCTATGATGAATTTCTTAAAAGAGAGAACTCCTTTTCCCCTAAAGTTACTTTATAATTAGAAATTAGATTCTTCAATAATTCAATGACTAAAACCTTTCCTAAAACCAAATGACCTTTTTAATTAAATGTTCTCCTGTTATATAGGCTCTGCTAGGCAGGTATCATTTCTACAGATAAAAAACCCTTTATAGCTGAGACCGGTTTGGCTCAGTGGTAGAGTGTCCGTCTGTGGACTGAAAGGTCCCGGGTTCAATTCCAGTCAAGGGCATGTACCTTGGTTGCAGGCACATCCCCAGTAAGGGTGATGCAAGAGGCAGCTGATCAATGACTCTCTCTCATAGATGTCTCTAACTCTCTATCCCTCTCTCTTCCTCTCTGTAAAAAATCAATAAGATATATATTTTTTTAAAAACCTTTATATATGCATTAAATGACCTTTTCCCTCTATGTCCATCCTTTTCTTTCATTTGACATTCTAACAGTAATTAATCATTGGTAAAAGTTTAAAACTCTAACAAATTAGTAATGTATTTCAATAAATGCTCTGATTTGCATAATATTTATGTCCCCATTTTTTCATTCTATCATGAAAATGTTCAAACTAAAGTATTTTACTCTTCCATACCTCTTTTTTAAAATTCTCATTTCAAAAGAACATAGCTAGTGAGGGGAAATCTGTATAATTTTATTATGGCATTAAGAAGTAGGTTAGGATTTGAAAACCTAAAGAACGGAATGAATATGTACTTAAAATTGACATTAGATTTAAAAGTTCTTGCCACAAACAATGTATTTAGAATTGTTTAATTATAATTGTGGTTCATCCAAGTAAAGGTATGAAAAATGCATAAAAACATAGTGATTGCATTTGAATTACTTACAATTTTAATCTTTAAGTATCTGTCTAAAAACCAAAAGTAGTTAAAATTACCATTAAGACATTATGTCAAATGCTCTGGAGTATGTAAACCCCAAAATGCATTGTCATCAAACCTCACTTTCCCTGAGGGTGACACTTCCTATTTAGTGAATTTCATTAGCAATAAATCAAAGAAAGTAAAGACCCTTAAGTATGTGACTGATACGTGTATGTGTGAAATACATATTCGTCCAACACTTTGTCTTGACTATGATGACGTAGGCAAAATGCTTTACCATCATTCAAAATAAATGATAAAACCAAGGCAAAGTGATGAAGTGACTTAGTAAAAAATACCAGCCAATTGTTGGCAATTTTCCTTTTTTATTAGGCTTCTTGGCTTTCTAGTTCGGGGGTTGGGGGTTGCGAAATAAAATACCATCTGAGAGAGAGAGCATCATGTAAGAGAATAGGAAATGCACGTTATGGATACTGATAGTCCCAAAGGAGGTGTGGGACTATCTAAATCTTACACAAACACTAACAAACAGCAAAAAGGAACAGGAACGGGAGGACCCTTCTGAATCCCAAATCTCTAGCCTGACAAATAAGAAGAGTAAAAGTACAATTTCTGGAAACTTCCCCCTCCGGCCCACTCTGTCGGCTGTTTCCACCTGGAAACAAATGCCAGCTTTCAGGATGCTTTTTAAATGGGCTTTTTTTTTTTTTTTTTTTTTTCCTCGGCGAATGTCTGCACTCCTTGCTCAAGGCCCCTTCAAGTAACTGAATCCCGCCGGAATTGCTCGTTGGAAGACCTGCTGATTCCCAATTCAAAATAAATCCCTTCGCTTTTTCTGTAGGAAGAGTCACGGAAAAAAAAAAAAAAAAAAAAAAAAAAAAAAAAAAAAAAAAAAAAAAAAAAAAACCCTCCTAGCTATCATTCAGATGCAGCCTGTTATCTTGAAGATTGGCAGGCCCAATCTCAGCTTGGGGAAGGAAAGGATGCTGGGGGAGGGGGCGCAGAGAGAGGGCGAGAAAGATGCTGGTCAGTTCCGAGATGCTGTAGGAATGACAAGGCACCTGGACCACCCAGGTCCACTCTCCTCCCTCTTCCCCCCACTACCCCGCCCCTCCGGCTCAGAGCCTGCGCCTCGGCCCCTCCGGCATAGGCCTGGAGCTGTGAATTAGGTGCTCGGGCAAACACACCACCTTTTATTCTCGCCTCCCTGGGAGGAGAATGGTGGGGAAGTGTCGCTGGGTAAAGCTGCACCACAACAAACGAGGTCTTTCTCCTCGCACCCCGCCTCCCCTCGCCAGGCGACGACTGTCTCGAACAGCAGACACAGCTGAGAGAAGCGGCGGAGAAGCAGGGCGGGCAGCGGGGCATCTCCACGCGGAAGCGGGGAGGCGGGGAGGGGAGGGGAGGGAAGGGGAAGGGAGGGATGGATCCCACAGCCCCTGCGAGCCCCTCCGGGAGGCTGGGGGGAGATGTGGAGCCGGGAACCGGGGGCAGGGGACTGGCTTCCAGGCGTGCGCTGCCAGGGGAAGTCCATCCTGGGGCGGACCCCCCACCCCCACCCGAGGCGGCGGACGCGGAGGAAATGGCTTTGTATTGCAGGATGAAAGGCAGACAGGAGGGCCACCAGGCGTGGCGGGGCGGGGAGCGAGGGGTCCCCCCCCAGCCGGACACCCCGCCCGTGCCCGGGTACCACGGTCCCCCTGCATTCCCATCAAAGCCCCTCCTCTCCTCCCCCGCCTCGGGCTCCACGGGCCAGAGCAGGTAGCCCCCTCGGCACCCTGCGCTCACCTGCCCACGAAGTTCTCCAGCACCGAGCTCTTGCCGGCGCTCTGGCCGCCCACCACGGCGATCTGCGGCAGCTCCAGCAGGCAGCTCTGCCCCAGCGCCGAGAAGGCGTCCTGCAGGCGGTTCACCAGCGGGATCAGCTCCTCCATCTCCCGGTTCCCCATGCCGCCTGCACCGCTGCCGGCTGCCCGCGGGGTCTCTGCTGGTCTCGCCTATCCTTGGCCAGGAGCCGGGCCCGCGCGGGCGGGGTTCAGTCAACGGGGCTCAGATAGTCAGGTCCAGCGCCCACGTCGGATCCCGCCGCCCTGCCCGCCCGCCCGCCCGCTGGCCCGCTCGCCCGCCCGCTGGCCCGCCGCTGGGCTCCTGACAGCTAACAGCCCGCAGCGCGCCTGCGCGGGAGGGCGGGGCGGGGCCTGGCTCGCAGCCCGCCCCGCCCGGCGGCAGCCCCGCCCCAGGTTCCCAGACAGCGCGCACCGCTGCCTCCCAGCTGCGGCCAGATGCCTCCGCCCCGGGGTCAGCACCCAATCAGCAGCAGCCGGCGACACGGCTCCCTTCCAGCAACTACACAGCCCAAAGCCCCCCGGGAAAGCTCTGCTGCCGCTAACGACTCAGGACTGCCACCATCCCCACCACCACCAGTCATCAGTGCCCCGCCTCCAGAGCACAATTCCCCAAAGGATAGCCACCTCCCCGGTAAGATTCGGGCAATGCTCCAGAACCCGAATCTTACCAGGGAGGTGGCCTGTTGGGGATCTAAATTCTCCTATCTGACACCCATTTCAGGCCCTGCGAAGTCTGACTCCACCTAATTATCCTCACCTCTCTCCCTCTCCAATCTACCGAGCTCATGCAGTCCTTGGCTACTTCCTCACACCACCTTGCCTCCTCCCAATCCACCCCCTTCTACAGGGTCTATCTACACCCACTCAGTTAAATTAAGCAAATCAAGACAGGCCTTTGGATCCTGCGTCTGATGATGGTAGACACAAAGGTAAATGGACATGTTTTTCTTAGTCTCCTTAGAATATTCCTCTTTTCAAATACCCATAGTTGTCAGGATTTCATTCATGGGCCTTGCCGTGTCTCATGCGTTATGCCTTTTTCCCAGTCATACCAGAGGGAGATGCGACTAAAGACGAGTGGTCGCATGGTACAACTTGCTGGCTTTGGAGATGGAGAAATGGAGGTCACAAGCCAAGGAATGCGGGCAGCCTCTAGAAATGGGGAAAGGCAAAGCAACAGATTCTCCCCTGGAGCCTCTGAAACTGATAGGACTAAATGACAAGCTCCCTGGGGACAAGATCAATCTCTGTGATTCTCAATGCCCGGCACAGTGCTTAGCACTTAAGATGACCACAGTCCACTGGAGTCAGATGTGAGCAAATTATTACAACATAATGTAGTTCCGCCCAGACCGGTTTGGCTCAATGGATAGAGCGTCGGCTTGGGGACTGAAGGGTTGGATTCCGGTCAAGGGCATGTAACTTGGTTGCGGGCATATCCCCAGTAGGGGGTGTGCAAGAGGCAGCTGGTTGATGACTCTCTCTCATCGATGTTTCTAACTCTCTCTCTCCCTTCCTCTCTGTACAAAATCAATAAAATATATTAAATAAATAAATAAATGTTTAAAAAACAAACAAACACACAATGTAGTTCCAAGGGCACTATGGAATGAACTGTCTCCTCAAACTTCATATGTTGAAGTCCTAACCCTCACTGTGGCTATAGTTGGAATAAAGAAATAATTGAGATTAAACGGGTCATAAGGGTAGAGTCCGAATCCAATAGGATTAGTATCCCCAGAGAAGACACCAGAGCACTATCTCTATCTATCTGTTCTCTATCTATCTCTTCTTCTAAGCTCTCTATCACATTTTTTCCCCATCACCTTCCTAGCCAGGAAGAAATATCCTAAAGTTTAGCAGCCTTTTTTCAGGCATTGCTCTTTATCTAAGAACTTAGACGTTTTTATAAACATATCAAAGCTCTCATATCTAAATGAGTATTTTCCTCCAGGATCATTTTGAGAAGTGCCTGATTTATTGCAATAATACTACATTTCACACAATGTCAGTGGAGCTCTTCCACTGAAATTAGAGGTCAGTGTTCCACAGTCACCCATCATGTTAGATTAACAGAACAGTATTCATGTTGAACCCCTACCACATTCACAGGACTTAGTCAAATAACTTTTAGCTAATTCTAAAAAGTAAACCTAGCCTTATTTGGTTTGGCTCAGCGGATAGAATGTTGGCTTGCAGACGGAAGGGTCCCAGGTTCCATTCTATTCAAGGGCGCCTACCTGGCCCTAACTGGTTTGTTTGGCTCGGTGGATAGTGTTGGCCTGAGGACTGAAAGTTCCCAGGTTCGATTCTGGTCTAGGGCATGTACCTTGGTTGCCAGCACATTCCCAGTAGGAGGTATGCGGGAGGCACTGATAGATGTTTCTCTCTCATTGATCTTTCTACCTCTTTATCCCTTTCCCTTCTTCTCTGTAAAAAAAAAAAATCAATAAAATATATTTTAAAAAGGGTTTCTACCTGGGTTGCAGGCTCCTCCCTGGCCCAGGCCCTGGTTGGGGCATGTGAAGGGGTGGGTACAGGAGGCAACCAATCAATGTGTTTCTCTCACATCGATATTTCTCTCTGTCTTTCCCTCTCTCTTTCACTTTCTCTAAAAATCAATGAAAAAATAACCTCAGGTGAGGATTAAAAATAAAATAAAATGTAAATCTATACTATGTATTATACACACACACACACACACACACACACACACATATATATATATATTCATATTATATACATATATTTTTTAAAATATGCTATAGGTTGAAGGCAAACTCTAAAGAGAAGAGTTAGAAAGTTTTGGAGAAGTGAAGACATCCTGGAAAAATATTTAACCTTTCAAAGAAGAGAAGCACATGATTGACTATATGAACTCAGGAATTCATGTTTTTTTTTAAATCAGTCACATTGCTGCAGAATCACATTTCATACCCTTCCCACAGAGCCTAGATTAGTGCTCATCAATATTTATGAGGCAGAACTGAACAGAAACATTAAACATTTGTCGTGTCCTCCAGGGTCAGAATCACTGGGTATTAATATTTACTACTCTGTGTACAGGTTAGGAACTATTGAAGTCCTTCAGTTCTTTTTCCAGGGGTTTATCTCATGGATGGGTTTTAGATCTTACTACAAAGCAGCTTGTCCTCAGACATCTTTTGAGTTCTATTAAACCCAGTTGGCATTAATACAGACACAGACACTCAGCCCAGTAACCATTGTAGTTGACACATCTCTCGGGGTCCTCTCTCCTTTAGTCTAACTGGATGAAGAGAAAGCAAAGACTCCAAGTTTTATTGCCCCTGATTTTCATCAGCTGTCATCAGGAAGCAAAATAACTCAGGAAGAACGCTCCAGTCTCCTACCCCTATCATTTCTATCAATTTAAAATCCGACAGATGGAAACTCACCAGTAGTCTCATGGAAGCATAACTAAATCCACATACAGGAAATGCCAATGGCCAAGTTTACCTTGTGAAGAGAGAGGGTTAGGAAGAACTCTCTACATCACTTAAATCTGATGTGGCAGCCAGCTTGCATTTCCATCTATGAAGTAGGTCTTGTGTTTCCATTTATGGAATAGGTATAGCTGGGCTCTCCTTTAAGTATAAACTACATATACTAGGATAGAGCAGGATTCCTTTTAAAAGGAAGGCCCCAGTGCTTTTTAATTCTCATTTATTGAATTAATCTCTATATATATACATATAATTATAATTAATAATGATATATTAAAGGTAGGCTATAAATTATCATTTAAAATTATGTTCACAAAGATTTTTCAATTACATAGACAAATGCTATGAATAAAATATTAAATTTAAAAAGCAGGATACAAAATTTTATATAGAGTATTACCATATCTACATAAAAGAGCATAAAATAAATGTGCCCCAAAATTTAATATTCTTCTCTACAAGAAAGTATGGGGGGGAAAATTACTGTCTTTTTCCTTTTGTTTCTCAAACATTCTATGATGAGCATGGATTTCTTTTACAGTTTGAACAGTTGAATAAATGCCATCTGATTGAACCATAATCCTATATAATAAAAGCATAATATTAAAATCAATCAAACAGCTGAATAGCAGAACGACCATCAGGATGACAATCTAGACAACCATTTGGGACCATACTATTATATGACACCCACTGGTGCCAGGCCAGCCAAGCCAGGTGAGATGTGTTTGGTTACCATGATCACCTGGCATAGGGAGGGCAAGGCCACCAACCAGTGGGCTGGGGCAGGTGGGCAGGGCCTCTCTCTGAGAGGGAAGCCCAGCCCAGGTCCCAGGTGCCAGAGGGAAGCCAGTGCCCGCAACCAGGGGAAGGAAGGCCTACTCTTGCACAAATTTCGTGCATCAGGCCTCTAGTCAGTTTACACACACACCAGCTTACCAACAGCAAAGGTGTTGCATAAGGTAAGGTTAAAATAACTTTGTAAATAGAAACAAGAGAGTCCACAACCTCCCCTATCTGCAAGCCTTTGCCACTCACTAGCAGCTGATAACTGGCCAAATATAACTAAGATTTTAAAATGAGTAGCATTTCTTTCTGACTCAAAGAGCAGAAATGTCACAAGCCCTGGCCATGATGGTGACATGAACTATCATTAGCTAAGAGTTCATTCAGTACACAACTGCAGGAAAGCAGTTAAATGAGCTGAATTTTGTTTGACTCAAGCATACACCATAATATATGTGATCGATAAGCCAGACATAAAGGTTACATCTTGCATGAATACATTTATATGACATCCTAGAAAAAGAAGAGCTAGTCATGACAACAGAAAGCAGTCTGAGGCAGTGGGTGGGGCTAGGGGATTGACTGCAAGGGGACATGTGGAAACTAAATGAACAGCAGTGGTGGTTTACATGATTGTATGTGTGTCAAAACTCATTGAACTATACACTTAAAATGATGCATTTTGTTTCATGTAAATTATACAGTAATAAAAATAACCTATGACACACTTTTGTTTTTTAATTGATTTTGAGAGAAAGGAAGGAGGGAGGGAGGGAGGGAGGGAGAGAGAGAGAGAAAGAGAGAGAGAGAGAGAGAGTGAGGGACATCAATTTGTTGTTCCACTTATTTATG